AGGCCCCACATAGAGAGAGAGAGAGAAGAGATAACAAAGGGTCCCCTTCACGTCAATTTGAGGGCCCCTGCAGGTACCTTGAATGACTCCTACGTTACATGTGGAGTCATCGAGGACCACTGCTTCAATTAGGAGGATGGTCTCGTTATCTGTGGAAGAGGTAGGGCAGACCACCAATATATGCTTTGGATTTGAGTTCAAGGCTGTAGCTCGGCAGCTATGGGTCACCAATTCAGTTAGATCCTGTTCGTGTCTCCACGTGATTCTCAGGGCCTCCCTCTACCACTCACCAAATGTATACAATATTAGTAGAATGAATCTTCTGCTAAAACATGGAACCATACCCCGCCATATGCTACGTCTTTTGTGCATGTGGTGAGTAGTGGAGCAGGCCCCACTGTACGTATTCGTAAGAAAACAAAAACGAAAAAACGAGAGCTCCCTCCAGTGCCTCCACCACTCACCAAATGTATACAATAATAATATTAGTAGAATGAATCTTCTGCTAAAACATGGGACCATACACCGCCATATGCTATTTCGTTTGTGCATGTGGTGAGTAGTGGAGCAGGCCCCACCGTACGTATTCATAAGAAAACAAAAACAAAAAAACGAGAGAGCAACGGGCATCTTCATCCTAACCCATAACTGCCGACATGCAGACCTGAACGCCAACCTTCAGAATATATTGGTGGCCGGTCAGACATGAAAATGTAACCTGTAACTTCTGCAATGTTCATGGGGCAGGTCGTTACTAGGCGACTACTCCCTTCTCACGAAATTACCCCACCACTGCGTGGGATTTGCAGAAGGGAGGGAGAAGGCCAGTTTCCATACCCCACCTAAGAGAAAAGTTGGAATGAGCCCTATTTTATGCTTTGACTTTTTGAAATTTCTGGGGGTAGGGCCTGCGGAAATTGAAATTCGGCAGCCCCTGCCCAAAACAAAGTTTGGGCCGGTGGCGCGGCCGGTTTGCGAGCTCGCGCGGTGCATTTAACATTTTTGCCGAGTTGGGGACCCTAAGGAATGACAAAACCCCTACTTTTTTTTTTTTTTGGACCTAATTTTTACAGTGCGCTGTGTTTGGGTGCGCTGCGCGCGGTGCGCAAATCCGTGCACCGAGGTGCACCGCAACTATGAAAAATAGGTTTTTCTAAGACGAACTTTTTTTATTAAACTCCTTCAGATCTGTTTCCTTAACCTTGTATCCCTTGAAATCCCACTTCTATAGAGCACCACCGCCCACGACATCAAACAATTTTCACGTCTTAATTTTAGATTTTGAATCCTTCATCCGACCAAGATTCAAATGGTGGCATCTTCCCCCACACCTGCCTTGAGTGTGGCGCAAACCCAAGAATAACCAAAGTGAAGAGCGAAAAAAAATAAAATGTAGCCGATGCCTGATATCAAACAGTCCAACTCATAGAACACAATCGAGATGGCAAGCAACTTGACATAAATAGAAGAAGAACGGCCCCTCGTTGCTAACACAATCATGGGGCGAGACCATGAATGATGATGAGGTAGAGAAGGATGACAATGAAGAAGAACAGAAGGCCCAGATATAACCAGCCAGGATGATAATAATCTCTCCCCCAACCACTCCATCTCCAATTGACTCGTACAAATGCTGAAGACCGAACAGGGAGAGGTCGTCCTATGATAGCTCTCTCTCTCTCTCTCTCTCTCTCTCTCTCTCTCTCTCTCTCTCTCTCTCTCTCTCTCTCTCTGGTAGTGACCGGTGAAAGCACGGAAAGACACTGCCTCGATCCATTGCCGGTTACCGAGAGAATCCCTGCAAATCCCTGAAGTTATGGCACCAAGGTGAACCCTCCTTTGTCCCTACCGCACCAGTGCAGACCACTCTCAGCAGTCTCCTCACTAGCATTGATGCAAACTACTGCTAATGCACTAACTTCCAGTGCTGCTCTCCAGGCGGCCTGTGCTCGATGAAAGGCACTACCTTGTGCCACCACAAGTCCCCAGGCTATGGCGCCAACGTGAGCCCTCCTTTGCCCCCACGTACCCCGCAGACCACTCTCGGCAGTCCTTTCCTCACTCACTAATGCACTGATTTCCAGCCCTACTCTCCTGAGGCCTGGTGGCCAGTAGATCAACTAAACTCTATCCTCACTTATACACCGCTGCGGACATCGACCAGTGAAAGGCACTATACGTTGTGCCACTGCAGGTCACAAAGCAAAGCCCAGCAAGTCCCCAAGCTATGACCCCAAGGTGAACCCCAGCAGACCACTCTAAGCAGTCCTTCCCTCACTCGCGCTAATGCACTGATTTCCAGCGCTGCTCTCCAGCGGCCTGGTGGCAAGTATATCAACTGAACTCTGTCCTCACTTATACACCACTGCGGTCAGTGACCAGTGAAAGGCACTATACGTTGCGCCACTGCAGGTCACCAAGCGAAGCCGGGCAAGTCCCCAAGCAATGACTCCAAGGTGAACCCTCCTTTGGCCCGACGGTACCAATGCAGTCACCAGTCCTCTCCTCACTGGCGCTAATTCACCGACTTCCAGTGCTGCTCTCAGTGGCCTCGTGACTAACTCGAGAGGCTCAGTGGTACATACCGCTGGGCCAGTCTCTCCTCTACCAGGTAGGGCCCCTGCGCCATTCAGTCCAGTCAAATGGTCAAGGAGGATGGCCGAAATCCTGGTCCAAAACCCGTTGGGTTGGGTCCCAAGCGCACTGCATCAGCAGGTTCAAAGGCTGGACCAGAGGTCCAGAAAAGTCTCTCAATAGATTAGATGGTACTGCGCCTGTTATTGGTTACCCAAGCAGCCAGGCATGCCGAGGACAGGCAGGCAGAGGGGAACAGCACAGGAAAACTGGGCGGGTCAAAAAAGAGGCAAATCGTAAAAAAAAAAAGAAAAAAAAAAAAGACTCTGCTTCGCCTGAGCAGTCAGAATCCGGCCTTATCTTCTGATTTGGTGATGGGTCACCCGGGGGGGGAGGGGGGGAAGGGCAAGGCATCGAGTTACTCAAAACAGGTTTTAAAAAGGGGTTCAAAGGGGTACCTTCTACATCTCCTTTTCTAATTTAATCTTGTCACCAAATTAGCAGGCAATTCAAAGGTTATCCTCAGCCAAACGTTATTACCCATGCCATTTTACGCACCAGTCTTTTTGCGGATTTTTTTGTCTTCTTTAATTTCCTTTTTCTTTAAATATCACTACGCACTGGGGCTGCCTGGGACCCTCCCTGAATTCTGCCCGACCAGGCCTGCCCCCTGTAGTGAGTACCCAGGTGATCCCCACCACCCAGGCCACCCGGATTTTTAGCACAGCCTAAGTTCAAATTCCAATGGGATTTTCCCAGACGAGCTGAAACAACTCTGAAATTTTACCTGGGGCCGGTCAGTTCGAAGAACAGTATTTCTCAAGGCCGTCGTCCTTTTGAAAAAGCAGAAGAGAGAAGAAAAGAAAAAAACAAAGGGAAAACTAAGCAAAAGACTTGTTTTCAGTTAGAAAGACGATTACTAGAGCGCAGGGAACTCAAATTCTCCACTAACCTGATTATAGTTCATAGGTGGTTCATCGAAGTTTGGAGCTGACGGAGTAATGAACTTGGGACACGCATATGAGAACAGTTCGTCGTATGTGGCCTCATCGCACCGCTGCATCCGGAGCATCTTCTCCCCAAGCTTCTCGCGTAGCTGGTTGTGAATGTTCTCCTCCACCAACTTCGCCTGTGGGCAGAGCGAGAGACAGATGGCCAGCAGAGCACACATCTGCTCGTTTTTCTTCATTATCTGGTCGTATTGCACGGACTTGGAGTGGTACTGTTGTGTTCGGACAATATAGAGCAACACAGAGTTGAAAGCTTTGATCGCTTCCACATACCTGCACACATATGCAAACAGAGAGTCAAAGGGCACCGTTTAACAGCCAGGACTTCCTCAAGTCGTGCCCATTAACAAGCCACAATTCTAGGAAATGTACGGGTCACTACAGGAGCGCCCAAATTCATCCGGCTAAAAACGTTTCTACTTTGTTTTATTCCACGGCTGATAGCTGGGCCAAGTACTGGTGGTTTTAAGACCTTCAGAAAGATATCCGTGGCACAGGCACATCACAAGACTGCTGCTTTCCCTGGGGCGTTCTCCGCAACGGCTGATCACAAAGTCACAATTCTAGGAAATGTACGGGTCACTACAGGAGCGCCCAAATTCATCCGACTAAAAACGTTTCTACTCTGTTTTATTCCACGGCTGATAGCTAAGTACTGGTGGTTTTAAGACCCTCAGAAAGATATCCGTGGCACAGCCAGATCACAAGACTGCTGCTTTCCCTGGGGCGTTCTCCGCAACGGCTGATCACAAAGTCACAATTCTAGGAAATGTCCGGGTCACTACAGGAGCGCCCAAATTCATCCGACTAAAAACGTTTCTACTCTGTTTTATTCCACGGCTGATAGCTGGGCCAAGTACTGGTGGTTTTAAGACCCTCAGACAGATATCCGTGGCACAGCCAGATCACAAGACTGCTGCTTTCCGTGGGGCGTTCTCCGCAACGGCTGATCACAAAGTCCCGAGTAGACTGGTCGACACATCTCTTCTTTTTTTTTTAAAGGGCGACGACCTTGAGATATTCATGGAACTGACCAGCCCTGGGTCATCCAAGAATTTCGATTCATCTAGACCCATCTGGATTCGAGCTCAGGTCTGAATTTCAAATTTCATGGGGTACACCGACTGAGCTAGGCCCATTGGTATCTCTTCCTCTTTTTCTCATCCTGTTCCTTTTAGTTCATTTTAAGAGAACCGTATTCAATCTTTATTAACAAACAAGGAAACCGTGATGGTGCCGGATAGTTCACATGTCAGATCAACGCCTCAAGACCTCAACGAAGTTCACAAGCCCACATCAAGGCCTGAACATCAACCCCTTGAACCACCAGTACCCCAGGGGGTCTTAGGCCCCCTCTGACACAAATGAATATAGACCCGCCGGCACACCGATTCAGCCTCCGCCTAAAAGCACAACGCAGCAGGTACTGGTGGTTTAAGACCGTTTCCCCTGGGGCAAACAGACCGAGAACTCTTCATGCTATTTACATATTTATATTGTTTCATTCGACTGCTTCTGAGACTAGGAACTGAATTGAACCGAACCTTCTTTCCAATCCAAACTCGAGAGTGTGCAAAGTGTTCGAGAACAGACCCAATCGATCATCCTCGTGCATTAACATTTCACCCGAACAGGATACCCGGTCATTACAGCCATATTTGGGGCAACTTCCAGTCCAGATGCAGCGATAATAACAGGGTGTTCAATTCGGGTGAAGATGGTTGCACCTGTTGCTAGGAGGATTGATACAGAGAAACGACTTCGCAGTAAGTGTGGTTGACTCGGCAGAAAAATGGAAGGCCACTAAAGACAAAAGATATCGTCTGATCAGCGGTCATCATCGTCCGATCAGCGGTAATCACTTCTTCAGTAATTTTCATGCTTCTTATCGTCTGATCAGCGGTGATCACTTCTTCAGTGATTTTCATGCTTCTTAAACCACCACTCCCTGCCCCAGGCAAAAGAACAGAGTGTATTGGCATACATCCGGGTCCGGCTCCCTTTCGGACGCAGCACGGTTTCGGATCGGTAAAGACAGCCTCCGACGTAGCCTTGGTTTACGCATCAGTGCGTATTCGATATAACAAACACTGGCTCCCAGTTCTGGGAGGACGACACACAGAAATAACTCTGAGGGCATAGTCACACTAGCCCTTTCTCGACAAAGCTCGAGACGACATTGCAGTCAAAATTCATCCAGATTTGGCCGTAATTCCAGCCAGATGCTCTGGGAACTGCTAGTGTGAGTACAGTGTGTGTATATATGTTCAACAGTCCTCCGCTCTGATGTGATTTTGATGCTTCTTAAGCAGTTACGCTCCTGTTCATTGAGTTCGAGCTCAGATGTCATAATCAGTGGCATGATGGTCAAGAAGGATCATAATCATTGAGTATATAGTGTGTGTACATCTGTTCTCGAGGCTCGAAGGACGAGGATCTGTGCAAGCACCACAGCAAAACAGTGTGTTTTCAGTGAGCCGAAATCATTACCGCTTTGGGAATTTAACTTCTACATTCCTAGCCGCCACGTCGGATTTTTTTTTAACGAAAATCGTCAGGGCTTACCGGATTCCCACCAGTAGGAGGCGACGATTCGGTTCCAAAAACGCCAAAATTGCAGTCAGGAACATCAGAGTAAAATGCCCAAAGGGGTAATTTCTTTTTTTTCTAGAAACACAGTAAAAAAAGAAAGGTCACTGCTTGTGCTTTTGCTGATCTATTCGCTCTCAATACCTTCCGGATTATACCAGCGAAGTCCAATTTTTTGTCAGTCTACCCTTTGTTGCCAGAAGGTGAGCAGCTATCATTTCTTTCCAACTGCATGTTGAAGAGGAGTCTGAGCTTTGAGCTGATCCTCGGAGCAGGGACGTCAATACGTACCTGCGCATCATCATGTTGGCGAAGCCATAATAGTACATAGTAGTGATGTGGCAGCCAATGACACGAGTGAAGACGCCTTGCTGATTGATGTCAATGGGAGAAAGACACCTGAGTGCTCCATGATAATCACCAAGCAGACAGTGGACCCTCAGCAGCCCCACGATGCTGAAATAGCCGAGCACTTTCAGGACGTTACTCCCACCCTGGTAGTCGTACCCATCCGTTGCAGTGAAAGTCAGGTTACCTCCACTCTCCTCTTCCAGAATGTCCACAATGTGCGAGCTCTCGATCAACGCCTTCAAATAATTGAGCACACCAAAAATGTTCCACACCTGGATCAAACACATCGAGCAGTCTTCAAGTCAGTCCACACATCTTCCTATGTGACAGCACTTGACTAACAGACCCGCCAAACACAGGCTTCAAATAATCTCTCTCTCTCTCTCTCTCTCTCTCTCTCTCTCTCTCTCTCTCTCTCTCTCTCTCTCTCTCTCTCTCTCACACACACACACACACACACA